CCAGTGCGACCCTACCTAGGAGTTGTAACCCCTAGGAAAGCAGCATTAGTAGTAACAGTGACGCTAAGCTAAAGCTAAGCTAAAGCTAAGCTAAAGCTAAGCCACAGCTAAGCTAAAGCTAAGCTAAAGCTAAGCTAAAGCTAAGCTAAAGCTAAGCTAAAGCTAAGCTAAAGCTAAGCTAAAGCTAAGCTAAAGCTGAGCAACAGCTAAGCCAAAGCTAAGCTAAAGCTAAGCTAAAGCTAAGTTAAAGCTAAGCTAAAGCTAAGCTAAAGCTAAGCTAAAGCTAAGCTACAGCTAAGCTCAAGCTAAGCTAAAGCTAAGCTAAAGCTAAGCTAAAGCTAAGCTAAACGCTAAGCGAAACGCTAAGCGAAACGCTAAGCGAAACGCTAAGCTAAAGCTAAGCTACAGCTAAGCTAAAGCGAAGCTAAAGCTAAGCTAAAGCTAAAGCTAAAGCTAAAGCTAAAGCTAAAGCTCCCAGGGGACTGGGGGGAACCGCGGGGCGGGGACTGGGGGAACCGCCCGGGGCGGTTTACACTGCCCGGCACCTTTAAGCTAAGAGAGTAAGAACCCTTCTAGGCAGAGCCTAGGTAGGGAAAAATGTGTTTAAAACGTGTTCTAAAAATGTTTCAAACATGTTTTCACATATCTAAAACATGTTTGAAACCTTTTTCTGACATATGGAAGTTATTTGGCAGCATGCTTCCTCTCCATTAATCGACTTCCACAACCTTTGGTTATGCCAGGCTCGGTGGAACATGCAGAGTCATTCAAGATCGACTCGCACGAGTCGTTTCCCGAGTGACAGCGGAGGGGATGGTAGCTTTCCGATCGAGTCAGGTTGGCATCCAGCCCGCCTCCCCCAATTCCCGGCCAGTTCGCAGCTGGTACACGGAGCCGCTGCAGCCGCCGCAGGTCCGCCAGCCCCGCGGCCTTCGCCGGCGGAAGAGGCTGGCCGCAAACTGCCAGGTCGTCACCAGGTCGTCACAAATGGCAAGAGCGAGCTGGCCAACTACGAGGGCAAGTTGGGCTGTTGACAGCACTGCGACGTGGAGCACATGCGCCACCAGATGGAGGGTCGGAGCCCAAGTGCCAGAGGCTCCCGCATGCCGACGACCGACTTCCAGATGGTCGGGGCCTTCGACCCCCGAACGGTGCTGACACTTGAGTGCCACTTTGCAGGACTCGAGTATGGGCAACCGAAGCCCACACAGTTCGGGTAGGCAGACGCCTACCTCGGATTCGTAGATTGCCCCTACCAGAGGGTGTTCGCATAGTCCACTACCACTGCTTCTTAGAAGGCGATGGCCCTACATTCATGGACACGGCCCGCGCCTTCTAAGGAGCAGGGGTGCTTCAGAGAAGCCTTCTCCCCTCCCTCATACCCCCCTCTGCGCGTGGCTGAGCCTCAGCCAAAGGGGGCCCCCCGCCCACGGGCCCCAGCCACATGCTTGGGGGAACTTAAACATAAAACCTCGGAGGTCCGCGCGGATTTCTCGGATCGGCGCGCGCCAGGGGCAGCGCCGGAGGCGCCGCCAGAGAGCCCCAGCGCCGATCCGAGAAATCCGCGCGGACCTCCGAGTTTCTATGTCTATGTCATTGCTCGTCCCCCAAAATGCTCCAGTGGCCACCAGGCCCGAGCATTCACGCCGCGACCAGGCGTGCATCGCGCAGCCCGCGCGGGTAGGGCCACGAGGTCGCCAGGCAGGGTCCCCCGCGTGCTCGCGGCGCGGGCGATCGCGACTGCCGTGCCGACGGACCACGCGCACTGCGCCCAGCGCCGCGCCAACGCCGGCCCCCTGCCCACGAGCCTGTCCCGAGAGCTCCCGGTCCGCCAGCAGCCAGGGCATCGACGCAGACGCGTACCTTGACGATTGCCACCTCGACCCGCTTTGCCGGGACGTGCCGCATGACCGGCCCGCACACCCGCACGCGGGCCGACCTCGCAGGTGCACCCGGGTGGCCGATGTGCTCGACGCCCGACGGACGCCCAGCCGCCGATGGCACCTGCCTGGCATGGGGCGTCACCACACAGGGTCGGCGACACGCGAGAGTGACCCTGGGTAAGAGTGACCTTGGGCGCGCGGCTCGGGGATGGAGAGAACCCCCTCTAGCAAAGCGTGGCTTAGTGAAAACGACCTCGGGCCCAAACCTGGCGGGCGCAAGCCTGTGAAACGACGGCCGCGGCGCCCTCTCGAGAACCGAAAACGGACAGTTCATTTCTCGACGTGTCAGGGTGGGAGTTCTGTCCACCCCCGAGCTGCCTTTGGCGGGCCGCGGAGGAGAGGGCCCCAAACACGAGCGCGAGAGACGCCACTGCCGCAGCGCGCTCGGTGATCGGGGGCCCCCCGTGGGCCCGCACCACGAAAAAGCCACTCCGGCGAGAGGGGCCACTCCTACGCGCAGTCGACAGGGCTGCCGGGAAGGGCCCTTCTCAACGCCAGTGGCTCACACGCTCGGGCGCGGGGCGTGCCCGACACGGGCCTCCGGCGTCCGCCCGGGGCCCGCCTTGGCTCGGCCTGCACGGCGCCGGCCCCGCCATCTGGCCGCCCGCGCGGAGATCCCCAGCGACAACGGCTGGGGGCCCGAAGCGCCGCGGCGCACCCGCGCCGGGCGGACCACCGCGGTGGCAGGGCGACGGGTCTGCAGCAAACCCACCCGCTCCTTCAATGCCTGTGCGCACTGCGCTGGCCTCATCTGGCACATGCGGCATGCCGAAGACAGCCACGCCCTGACGCCGCGGAGCTACTGACCCCAAGCTCACGTCCACGCGGCCGAATGCGCTTGGAGCGTCCGCCCGTTCCCAGACCCCCGACGTCGTGATTTTTTCACAACGTCGACCCCCAGAGGTCTGGACCCCTTCCCCGGGACCGGTTTCTCGTCCTGAATCGTTTTTTGACGGTCCTGGGGCCCGGTGAGGACCCCAGGAGGCCGAAAATAGTGAAAAACCTCCCGTCGTGATTTTTCACAACGCGAGGAGGTTCGGGTTGGATGTGCTCTTGCGCCACCCTCGATGACGTCGGACCGAACACGTGCGGCCTGAACAAACAAACCGTCGGCACGGCGCTCGCAGCCAGCAACACGGCCTCGGAGACACCGCCAAGGGTCTAAACGCAGATCACGAGCCGTAGCCCAGCGGCCAAACGACGGCGGCCTCAGGTCAACAGACTAGGACCACTGGCTCCCCCTGGAAGCCGTTGCCATCGGAGAGCTGCCAACAATCACAACCGAGGCGACCAGGCCACCTGGCACCCCTGCGCATCCAGGTTTCTGCGCCGAACCCACCGGAAGGCCAGCCATGCGGTTCCCGGTGGCCCGCCGGGGCACCCCAGCGAGGTCACACCCCACGGGCCCGGGCCAACCGAGCAGGCCTCCGCAGCCCACCAGGGCTGCGCCACCGGCAGTAGTTTTGTAACCAGTCTTAGGTCGGGCGTGTCCCCCTAGAGACCGATTTTGTGCGGAAAAAAGGATCAACAAAAATCGTCCCCTGACTGTTCTGTACTATTTTTGAAATTCCTCCTGTAGAGGGACAGGCCCGACTTAAAACCAGTCTGGCTCGGCTGGGGATGCTTCGGCCGACAGGGGGGTTCTCTGGCCTTTCCCCTGACTACCTACTAGACGACCCCAACCAAACCCGAAGACCCCAATTTCGGGTTGGGGGGGCACCGGTTCCAGATATGTGTTTTTTCGGGGCTCCCCAACCCCTCCCCCCATTGGAAATGGAAATTGGGGCCTTCGGGTTGGGTTGGCGTGGTTTGGTGGGTGGTGATCCCCGGGCCCCAGCCTCGTCAATGTGGGCCTCCCTGCGCGTGGGCGGAGGCATCGGCCAGCCTCCCGGAAGAGGCTCAACCCGCTGGGAGACGCCTTGTTTGCTGCGTGGCGGTCGCGCCCCCGAGGCCTCGCCGAGCGCATGGCGGGCGGGCCCTGCAGCCCCCGGCGGGGCGTCACTGCGAGGCCATATCCACCGCCTGGGAACCGACGTCCTGGTGCCCCAGCCGGCGGTGGATATGGATATTTCGGCCCCCGGGGGCCCGAATATGTCCATATCCACCGCCTGCCGAAGCTCCGAAAACTGAGCCTCCAGGCGGTGGTCACGTATAAATTCCCGCCTCGGAATCACCCTGCTCCCGAGTCTCGCCCCGCGTGCACCGACGCGGCCTGCAGCGGAGCTGCACGCCGTGAACCGCGAAGCGCCCGCGCGCCACCGCGTGCTGGACCGGGCGTCCTCAACCCCGAGGATGCTCTGAGGGGACCCGCGGCCAGGAAGTCGGGTGGCTCCCGGGGCGCTCCCAGGGCGCTCTCTTTTTTGCGCAACCTGAGCGCGGCAGCGCGCGCCAGGAGGGCCCCAAGACGTGTCACGAGGACCCCAAGAGGCCCCCGCAACGGTCCAAGAGCCCCCCGATTCGCCCGAAGAGCTCTCCAAGACGGCCTCAAGACGGCCCCAGAGGGCCCCAAGAGGGCCCCCAAAGAGGCCCCCAAAGAGGGGCCTGAGCGGCCCGAATCATGTTAGCAACCGCTCCCTTCCCCCCTTTTTTCACTGGCGAGGCACCAAAGCTTTGAGGCCGCCCCCGGCCCCAACACAGAGGCAGGCGCAGCGGCGCCGCCAAAAAACGGAGACGGATAAAGGAAAGGGTGGGCGGGCGGGACAACCGGCCCCACCCTTGAGCCCAAAACAGCGGCGGGCAGGCGGCGCGCGCGCAAGAGACACGAGGAGGGGCAGCGGGGAATCTATCATTGCTTCACATACGTGAATCCGAGTTAGCTCCCGCCCCCCTCCCTCCTCCTTGTCATTGGCGAGGCACCAAAGCTTCGAGGCCGCCCCCGGCCCCAATGCCAATGAAGGAACAAGGGGGAGCGGCACAGGAGCGGGGCACTGCGGTGTCTAATTTTAAGTGCCAGAATCGTCGAAGACGCCCTGCGCCAGCAGGCCCGCGGCCGCCCGACGCGCGCGGCCTGGCTGAAGCCGCCGACCGCCAACCACCACTTACGAGCATGGCTCCCACGTCCGACGCGGGGAAAACGCCCGCGGCCGCGCCCCGCCGGACGTCGCAGCCAAACCACTCTTCGGGAATAGCGACCCCGACCGCGCACAAATGATAACGGAGCTCGGCTGCCCACGTCTCAGGCGCGCATCCGCCAAACGGGCGGCGCCCGATCCTGAGGAGCTCGTCCCAGACGGGCAGCCACGCGCGCAAGCAGATGAACTTATCGACCCCGCAAATACAAAAAGCGACAACCGTGCACAAGTCGACCCGCTGCTTCCGGCGCGTCGGCTTGCACGCGAACCGACCGCCCTGCACCTGCACGCGAGCGCGCGCGCACTGCGCAAACAGCTCGGATGGCATCCGCAAAAAGGAAATTATAGACAAGCGCCGCAATGACGCACCACAACCTACGCTGGCGCGACAGCACGAAGCGGAGCAACCACCGCAGCAGCAACCGGTCTACGCGGTGCCGGGGGAGCCGCGGGGCCCGGATCTTGGCCGCGCCCAAACGAACGCCGCGCAAGATGACGCCCTGATCGCCTTGCCAGGAAACGCCGGCAACCTGGCGCGCCAAGGCCCACGCGCTCAGCCACCCACGCTCCGTGGAGGCACATGCACAGACTGCAGCAACTCTACGAACGCGCTGAACCGAGCAGCCCAGCGGGGCCCCCCCCTAAAGATTCGCTTGCCCAGGCAATCATGCGCAAGTGCGACGCGTATGTCCGCAGCGTGCACGGTGCTGTTTTGCGCGGAAACCGCTGCTGCACCACCGAGTCCGCCACGGACTGGAGGTTGACGCTCGAAGCGCGGGCTTGAGCAGCCATGGCAGCCAACGCCCCCCGCGGGGGCGCCCCGTCCGGGCGTTTCTGGCTGCGCCCCCCGTCTCTGATGAGCGCAACACATCATGCCCCAATTGCGCCTGCCAGTCGCCTGGGCAATGGAGCCGAAGACCCCCCAGGGCGCGCCCCGCAGCGCGGCGGCGCCGCGCGGGGCAGGGGCAGCGGCAAATCACTGCGCCCCGCGGGGGCCCAGACAGGCAGCGCGCGGGCGGCCAGGCGCGCCACCGCTGCCACCGTGGCCCGCGGAGCCAGACGAGCCCGCAGGCTGCCCCGAGGCGCCGCGACCGGGCGAGCAGGGCTCCGCGGCGGCCGCAACGACGGGCGTGTCGGAAGCCGGAGCGGCCGGCGCCTGCTGCAGCGGCCGGACGGCGCGCTGCACGTCGGCGCGGGGCCGCTCGGGGGACGGGAGCCACGGCCCCACCCCGCGCAGCTTCCCCCTCGTGCGCCGGAGACCGCCGCCGCGCCAGCGCGGGCGCGCGAGAGCCGCAACGGCTGCTAACCCCCGCGCGGTGGAGCTCCCCCACCTCCTCCTCGCCCTCGCCTCGTCGTCGCCCCCCCCGCCCCCGCGCCCCGGCCGTGGAACCCCCGGAAGTTTTAGCGGCGCGCCGGCGGGCGCCGGCGAGACGAGGCGGTGAATCCCAGCAGCCCTTTGGGCGTGAGTGGTTTAGAGAGCCCGCTCTGTTCTCAAACCCCTTCTTCCCCTCGGGGAGGGGTTTACCCCCCCCCCTACCCCCTCCCCCTGGGCCTGGAGAGGGCGCCCCGCGGGTGGTTGGAGGGGTCTTTGTCGACTCCTGGGAGGGCAAAAAAACGACACCCCTCACGAAGATTCTGGCCCCGACGGGGGGGGGCAGCAAAAATGCACCCCTCTTCTTTGAAGCCAAAATCCTATATTTAAATGCGGTTTTGGCCCCGTTTTGGCCTTCTGAGGGGGCAGCGCTAATTAAAGCACCCGTCTTCTTTCAAGCCAAAATCATTGATTTTACCAAGGTTTTGGCCCAATTTTGGCCTTCTGAGGGGGTAGCGCCAATTAAAGCTCCCCTCTTTTTTGATCGATTTCCTCCAAGATGGCCCCAAGAAGCGCCCAGGAGGCACCAAGAGGCCCCAAGATGGCCCCAAGAGGCCCCCAGGAGGCCCCCAAGAGGATCCCAAACGGCCCAAAGAGGCCCCCCCGAGGCACCCAAGACGCCGACAAGCCCATCAGGACGACCCTCTACTCGCCTGGGCGTCGTTTATGGACGGGCAGGAGGAGGGCCCGAACGACTCGCACCAGGACGAGGGGCCCGAACAACTCACACCACGAGAAGCCCGAACGACTCACGCCAGGACGAAGAGCCCGAACGACTCACACCACGAAGAGCCCGAACGACTCACTCCAGGAAGAAGGGCCCGAACGACTCACACCAGGACGAGAAGCCCGAACGACTCAAACCACGAGGAGCGCTTTCTCTCCCTCCTCCTCCGCCTCGCCCTTCTCCCGCTCCCACCACAAGGAGGATGCGCAAGGAGGCGGGGGGGAGGAGGAACAGGGGAGATATGCGGGGGCAGGCAGAAACGCGCCTGAAAAACACGACTGTCGGCATGCTTCGCTAGAGTGGCTGTTTTGAGATGGGCTGGCGGGGATGCGCGAAGCGTGAAGAATTTTGGTCCCCCCCGCGCCCAGCGGCGCACCTCCCTCGGCGCATCTCCTCCCGGCAGGGGGGGCGCGCGAAAATCTACGAATCCTGCCGGCCGGGGGGCCCCTCCAAACAGGAGCGGACGGCGGCGGACCCCCTTAGGTCGGCGGACGCGCCGCGCGGACCCGCCCCCCCCCCCCCCGGGAGCGAAGGGGGGGCAGGGAAAGGCAAGGAGAGGGGCGGCAGCAAGGGGAAGGGGGAAGGGAACGAGGGGGAGGGAGGAAGGGGGGGGGGAAGGGGAGGCGGAAGCGGACGGAGGGGGAGGAGCAGAGAAGCGACGAGACACGACATGTTTTGATTTTGTTGCACGCGCGCCGGCTCACACTCCGCGGCAGCGGCCAAGGTTCACCGACAGCGTCGGCGAGACAGTCACCACGGCCGCCCCGGGCCCGCGAAGCGCGGCTTCGCCGTCGTCGCGCGAGGCCAGGTCAAGCGGATTTGATTGAGCATGTACATATTCGAACCACTCCCCGATGTCGCAACGACAGAGCAGCTCGCGGATAGCCCCACCACACACGCTACACGCAGGGATTTGGCATATCATTTGGTACACCCACTAATGGCCGCCAGATTGTCCCCAAAACAAAAAGAACACGCAGTGCGAGCGCAGCCGGTCGCCCCACAGGTCAAAAGACTCGGCAATCCACCACGCCTCTGCGCCATTGATGGCGCGCCCCTAACAGGGGCCTACGGTTGCCAGCGCGGGCGGGGGGGGGGCGACGCTGAAACCCACTCGCGCGTTCTGCCCGGGAACGACGAGGAGGGCCGCCGCCCGCTTCGAGGCGAAGGCTGCGTCGCCGCAAAGCACTGCGACCGGAGCGCCAGTCGGGGGCAGCGGCACAACGCGCGGAGGGCCACTGCGCGGCAGGGCAGCCCAAAGGTGCAAAGCAACCTGCACGGGCGGCGGCCGCGCGCCAGCCTTCTGGATTGCACCCATATTCCCTAACGCTTCAAAGAGAGGCTGTCTGGCGCGCGCGCCAGCTTTGCCACGAGGGCCGCGCGACGCAAAAACGAGCCCCCCACGCGCGTCGACGCTGCGCCGGCCAGCAGGCGGGCGCGAGCCAACTCTTCGCATTCCTGCGCCAACGGCTCGCGCCGGCAACTGCGGTCGCCGACGCGCGGGCCTCCCTCGCAGGAGGTGAATACAAGATCAAAAAGGGAAATTCCACAGCCGTGCTTCGACTTTTCTGCGTTCACCCCGCACTCCAAGGTGTTCACCCCCCCCCCAGTTTCAAAGCGCGCGCTGGCTGCGCACCAGGGGGGCTTCCACTACCAGAATTCGTCAAAAAACGAAGTCAACGAAAAAACACCTGTTGAGGACCACATTCGCATTCGCATTCGCATTCGCCACGGCGCCGCCCGTGCCAAAATCTTGCGAGAGCAGTTCGCGCCCCGCCACCTGCTTCTCCTGTGGGCGCCAGAAAAGCTGCACCACCCGAACAGGGTCGCGGCGGCGACCGACCTGGTGGCATGCCGTGCGCAGGTGGCCCTTGCACCTTACGGGCAGGGCGCCAAGGGCTCGCTGGGAGGCCGCCATCTGCGACGGGATAGCCTCGCTGTCCGAGCAGACGATGATCTCGGCGGCGGCCCACGCCAAATCAAAACAGCAGCCCCGGGAGAGTCGGAGGCCTCGGCACAAGCGCGCACTTCCACCGAAGACGACGGCGTAGCGGCCTCTTCGTCAGACCACCGCCGCTGCTGAACAGGGAATTTCGCCTTCGCCGGAGAGGAAAAAGTCGACCGGCCGCGCGGGGCCGCGCGACCCCGTCGATTCAGCTCGCGCGCCCTGGCGCCACAGCACCTCTGAACATGATCGACCCACGAACCCGGAAAGGAATATAGAAATGTAACGCATGGCAACGTTTTCAAAGACACCTGATTGGGTGACGGGCAAGTGCAATGCTGATTGTATCGATCTTGATGCACCGCGCCGAGGGCTGTGCTGTGCTGCGCCGTGCTGAATTGCGATGTGCCATGCCGCGGTTGTGCTCTATAGCGTCGTAGATCGAGTCTTCCTTTGCATCCGAGTCCTGACCGAACTGATCTGGATCTGAAGCTCGAGCTGCCTGAACACATAGTAGCTGCCCCAGAGCTAATTGACAGGGGGGCGCGCCAGGAGGACGCGCCGCGAAACGTCCCAAGGGACGCGCCAGACGACGCGAAAAGCGACGTGCCATGGGGTCGCACCGTAGGACGTGCCAAGGGGACGCGCTACGGGACATCCTCAAAATTCCTGCGCGCGGGACGCGGCACGCGCGAGACATCCTTGGAATCCCTACGAGCGGGAAACGAAAACAAGCATTTCGCCTGAGACATCCTCTGAATTCTGCCCCCCCACGAAGCCCCCGCTCGAGATGTCCCCAAATTTTGCAAAACCAGCGTTCCGCTCGAGACATCCTCAACAAATTATGAAAAACAAGCGTTTCGCTCGAGACATCCTGCCAACATTCTAAAGAATCCGGACAACACAAGCGAATTAATCGAGACATCCTCGAAATTCCTGCGCGCGGGACGTCGGGGCTCTAGACCCCGTTATTTGTCAAAGATTCTGGGAAAAAACGCCCCGCGCCCTCTTCTTTTTTAACTACGGAAAACGGGGCTCTGCGGACTCCGTTTTTCATCGAGGATCCGAGATGGGGGGCGCACTTTCCTCGAGCGAGCTTTACCTCGTTACTTGCGCAGAATAATTTCGCCGGCCCCCTTCAAGTCAAAACCGGGGGTAAACCAGCTAAAAGAAAACCCTGGACCTGAAGCCCCTTCCGGGAAAAAGGGTGGCTCCGACGCAACTTGTCGACTAGCTCAAGGTTGCGACCTTGGCTGCGAGCCAACAGCTGCGCCACGGTCCACTCTGGTTTCGCCTCCGGAACGGGCGGGGAGATGCCTGACGCGACAGGCGCGCCGACGTCGCGGAGCCCCCCGTGAAGCCCCTCCAAAGAGGCGACAGCCGGAGACTCAACGAGGCGGAGGAGACGGAGGAACAGGAGGGTGGGTTTGCTAGCGAAGCCAATCAGGGCGGGGTCTGCTGCTG